TGCACTTGTTACTAGTAGCTTCTTGTCACTGGTAGTAATGCCCTTGTTTCTCGTAGCGATGCCCTTGCTACTAATAGCGATGCCCTTGCTCCGTTCGTAACGATGCAATGCAAATGGGCTTCAACTTGTTCGGAACAAGTTCACACAATCACACCACATGTGGCAACATGCAGGCCAAGTGTAACCCAAAGGCCTGTGTGGGAAGCCTTCTCTCCAAACAGACTCCTGTTGCGGGGACTCCTTCTGATGATAAAAATGCGAACACGCATGAGCACTGGCTACCACCAGAAGCTGTTGAAATGACCTGCATGACTCCCCGCCCCTGGTCGCCTTTCCACGCCCCGCTCGGGTGGCGCCTGGTATGCTGCAAGCGGCAGACGGTGATGACAGGACAGCCTGCCGCTTAGTTGAGAGGCGCTGTTTGCCTCCTATCCCAGGAAGTTGGGAGGTCTCAGGGGAACATGTGAAAGCAAGTTTCCGTGCTCTTTTGGTTGTTTTCTCCTACAGCATCTTGACTGCGCACCCTGCTGACAAGACTTGAAATGACCTGGCTTAAAACTGTCCGCCTCTTCCCAGCTGGGACCTCCTTGAATTCAAAAACAAGACGCCTGGCTCCGCCCATACTCCGCACACACGCCTGGCGCTACCACTCCCAAGCACAGCCAGAAGGCTAAAGGAACTCATTCCTGCAGTGGGACGTCTTCGATTTCCTATGGGTTGGCTATGGTGATCTTTCTTGGAGGGGGTTATCTAGCAGGTAAGTCACGGCAAGTCATTGAAATCTAATACTTCCGGTTCTCATGTCTTGGCCCCGATGCAGTCCCTTGCGGACAACCAGTGCTTGGCCCTTACTACTCCACAGTGAAAATGAAAGCTGCTAGTGGGTGGTACCTGACCAGCTTTCAAACGAATAAACCAATCTTGAATAAAGCATCAATGAAGGTGGGTGTTGCTCAGTAGAGTAATAGGTATGTCCATCATGCTGCAGCCGCATGCCCTCAAGTACTACTACCTGGTTCCTACCCTAGCCCTACCCACCTAGACCCTAGCCGTCAGCCTTCAGGGCCTCTCAGTCTTACGTCATGTTTGTTTGGGGGATGCGGCAAGTCCGGGCCCAAGTACAAGCGGCAAAACAATGGGAATCATCGTGCTGTCAATCAATGTCCATCCAACCGCCCAAAGGGAGTCCCACTCATCACCCCCAATAATTGGATTAAATCCCTACAGCCCTACACCCTGTGAATGTATACTTTAATCTAAGGTGATTCACTGCAAGTGGTCATGCTCTTTGGACATGCTCTGGTCCTTCACTTCTAGCTGGTCATTGGGCATGGTGCTGGCAGCTTCGAAGAAATCCCTTCTGCTCTCATCTCAGTGTTGAGCATATTGCTTGTTGACGAGGGGACCATCCAATGCACGACATAGCAGGTGCTCCTGTATGCTGCTTACAGTTGCGGGATGCTGCAAGGTAGCTGAGACTCATTGGAAGTGTTCGGCTCCAATAACCAGGGCTACACCACGAACATCATCATCTGGAAGGTTGTTCTCCCACAAGCAATTTCATACGAGCAAAGCAAGAAACCAAGAACCACGAACAGCTGCGGCGATCACACCAACGGCTCTGACTTGATTCGAGGAAACTGCGACCAGGAAGAATGTTGCACTGAACAAGATTAACAAAGGAAAGCTTCACCCTGCAAGCTTCGGAGTTTCGCTTACGGCCTCTCCTAAATACATCTGTAAAGGCTTTGGTGGCAGTCCTCCTTGACCCCACCCATCCTGAAAACTGGAGATCCATGTGAAAAATTGGCATCAGTTTTACTGGAACTTTCTGCTAGGAGTGGTTTCGTGAAGGCTTGCGTGATGCCAAAGCATGGTTACAGGAAAGATCTGGGGGTGCATTCTGACCCCCAATGGGCGTAGGTGCCAGCTACGAGCAACAAAAGCGCATCCTTTTTGAGCTGCATCCGTTGAAGAGTACCCTGCCAAAGATCGACCTTGCTTGTTGTCCACCGCCTGGATCCAAGCGTCAGACTCCGAAACCAACCACCGAAGGAGCCGTCTCGGCCGTATGTAACATACCGGTCACAGCCCGATCACAGGGGGTATGCAGCCCGAGCATGTCCGAGCTGCTCGGGCACAGTGGAATGTGTGGGGGTTTGGGAATGAGGGGACCCTGGACAACCAAAGAATGAGGCTCCCGGACCCTGGACCTTCAAAATGACAACATGGAGAGTTCCAGTTCGACGGTGACCGTATCCCGACATGACCGTATCCCAAAGTGAAGGAATCCTGGTCTTGTCGAAACGTTTTCTTATTCAACGCGCGCACTTCATGACAAAGAGAAACAAAGAGAATGATTATATAATTATCTGGTCAGCATGGACGCGAGAAACACATGATGTATGCTGTACTGTATGCAGATCGAAACTTTGGTAGAGCAATTGGACAGTCAGCTGAAGAGCAATCGTCCCACTTCGTGCTCCGCAAATGTTTGGCAATGGTTGGAAGCTGGCGCAGCCTCTAAATCTTTCGCGATCACTTTGGATATCGCAGTGCCCAGTCATTACCCCGCAGTTTTGACTCTGAGTTGCACTGGAGGTTGGTGGAGGTTGCCATTAATTGGCTTTCCATAGAGCATCTTAATGTATATACACATAAGGCCGTATGTAGATGATGTGATTATATAAATGATGTGATTGTCCCCAGGTTCCCAGCATGTCCTTAATTTGAAAAACTAATCAATGTCCCTCTTCAAGATCTTCAAGGCTCAATCAGAGTCGCAAGGCAAGCGTACTAGACCTTGTCTCTTCGTGTCGCGGCCGCCGGCACAAGCACGCACCGTATCATACAAAAGGTGCAGAGCTCCAAGGGCGAGGAACAGCAGCACAAGTACACGGAACATCGCCAGCAGCATGGCACAAAGCCCCGGCTTTATGCAAACCCACTGCACCTGGATTTCGTACCACAGTTCTTGCAGTTCAGCCTTGACAAGCTTGTGGGGCAAGTCAAAGAAAATGTCGAAGAAGAAGTAACGGAAGAAGCCCAGAACCCCTGGCTGCTCCTCGATGGGACCCAGGGCAAAGGCTCCTTTTATAAGCGCTTGAGTCAGCAATGCTGCAAGGCCAGCTAGTGGGCAAGCACTGTTGGCCAGAACCCGTGTCCACAGTGGAAAGGAGGATTTTGCCTTCTCTAGCTCCTTGAAGGTCCAAATTTCATTGCATGATCCCCTTGACAAGCTGCTGCCCTTTGAGGAAACTCTAGCAATCCGTTGTGACTCTTTGTTTTGGGTGGTCTTTTGTTCGAGTTCCTTCAGCACGGACGGAAAGCCCTGGCTGCCGCAGGCATCGAGTGAACAAGGCTGGCAGCGGGAGAACTGTGCTGAGATGCATGATCTCCACATGCATTGCCAGTAGGATGTACACTTGCACCGAAGTGCAAATAAATATCTCGCTGAGCTCAATGGCTTTGTGTGTCACCCACTGCTTGTTGGCAAAACCTTGTCGCAAGCTGTCTGCAATGGCCAGGGCTCCCCGGATTTGAAACAGGTCAACTGCCCATACACAAGGAATGGCACACCCAATGCTCATGAACATGCCTGGGAATGGCTGCCCAATGCGAAAAAGACTAAGAATTGAAACCACATCTCCAAAGGGCTCCAGCCAAACAAAGAAAGCCTCCAACCAAAGATGTCTCTTGGAGCCAATACGATCCGGGCATAATAGAGGCAACTGACCTGAGTCATTCTGAATGATCACATATTGATTTGATGGTCCCAGATCCGAGTTGCGAACAGGCGATGTTGCGAGCCACCTGCACCAAAAGAAGACGATGCTGATCGATCCATAAAGCATTGCATACAAATAGACGCTGTACCATTCTGGCATCCAGCGCAAAGCCCACGATGCTGTCTGCGCTTTATAACACATCAGGAAAGTATCACTCAACGAACTTCGCATGATGCGAATCACATGCAGTGGGCTCAACATGTAGGGTGTGGCACTGTTGCTGCCAAGAGCCTCATGGCACCAAGTGGTGCAATCCTCTGCCAATTGGGCACTGGCAACTGCATCATGTGGAATGATGTTGATGCATTTGGCCGGCATGAACTCGGACTCGGAGCCAATCAACCGGGTCATGAGCGACTCCTCAAAAACCCTTTGGTCAAGGGTTAATAGTTGGTCCAAGGGTTGTCGCTGCACTGTGGCCTCATCCAGCCAAATGGCGAGTAGAGGGAGAAGCCAAATGATCAGCACCAGAGCGAATAACACGGCACAAAGCCATTTAACCGCCCTGGTTTCTGCTGCTTCGCCCGACATGGCTTGGTCTCGATCAACTTAGGACTTAGGAGCTGTCTTGGATGCATTCATGCACAGACAAATCTCAAGAGCAAACCGCTAGACAAACCTCCAGCTCAAGACTAAACAGGGACCCTCAGGGATTGCAATTAGCAAACACTTGCGGGTTATCATGTAACATGGCCCCCAATTAACCCTCACAAAAATGATAAATTAATACAAAGGAAGCTACTAGGAAAAGTGCATCGCTACTAGTAGTAACAAGTGCCTTACTAGTAGTAACAAATTAGAATTGATTTAAATTGCGACTGTAGTTGCGACAGCGACGTACGACGCATCCCGTGCCCGTGCAGCCGGGCCTCGGGCCGAAGTCGCGCCAGCGGCGGTGCTGGCGCTGCCGCGGCAAGGTGCTGGCAACGACCCATATGTTCGGTGGGCAAGACCCAACGTCCGGCACAAGCAATTGGTGGGATGATGTCGGAACAGTGAAGATTTCCACTGAGGAGCACCTTCACAGCCGTTGTGCAAGAACTGGCTTTGCTTCCAGCAAAAGCCATAGGTAAAGAATGGCCAGAACTGACTTTGAAGGAGAGCATCCTACTCAAAGATCTGCGATACGAGAATTCAAGCAAACCTAGCTATTGAAAATGCAACTTTTCGAGTGTTCCCATGGAACCGCAGTAGTCAAGGTTTTGCCCGAGGTGGACACACCCTGAGGTTTCACGCGCTAAACATGTGCAACAACTGGCCATTTCGGGTGAACTCTCATTTTCACCTCTTTTCGCGTTCTTTATGTCCCGTTTGTGTGCTCTTTCTGGCACATTAGGACACGTCCATCTGCACTACTTCAACACTTGCCGGAGTGAATGCAGCGGCCTGTACAGAAAACCATGCCAAACTTTGCGGTCTGTTCAGACTTGTCCAGAGCTGTTCTCCGTTGAACAACGCAAAGGAGGCTAGGCGAAATGGATGTGATGGCATGTGTCAAAGGCTCAAATTGTTAGCTTGTGTTCAAGTGCCACGCTTGGGAGAAGGATTTGAGCCCTTGAGCCAGCACGTTCAAATAAATGGGAGACCCCCAAAATCACCCTGATGCTTGGTTTTACGGGGCTCCGCACCCAAAACGATTGACACGATGGTCGCCATGTGCAGGATCGCCGCCCGTCACATGAAAGTCCGAAATCGAGCTCTAGCACGGAAGGTGTTAGAAGCCCAACTCCGAAAAAAGAAAAAGGAAGAAACAGCAGAGCAATGAGCCTGCCATATCGATCCTTTTGCAAGTCAAACATTGGGGACCGGCCAAAAAGAAGAACCTCACAGCTCCTTTTGAGCTGTTGAGGTTCCGGTGGATCCCCTCAAAGTTTGGCTCACGTTCGTCCGTGGCTCGAGTGTTGACTTCGACCGACCAAGGTGAGGTCGGTAGTCTTACCTGAGGGTGGCAAGTCTTCGGGCGGCCCAAATCGAGCAGAAGGAACGTAAATCAAGTTTTTGCAGTTTGGGGGTGTTCAGTGGCTCAGGCTAGCCCTGTCCTGAAGTTCCAAGTAGAGTGCAGGCAAGTCACACCAGAATGGGTGCGGTCCCTTCGTCTGCCAACAGCCGGCCAGTGGCGGGGCTGCCATAGACCTGTACAAAGAGAGCAAGTGGACAAGCACGATGCGGCTCAAAACAACCAAGCCTAGGGCATCGGCAGCATTTACATGATGATCCTTAACGAGGCAGAAAAACCCATGTCTTGGCTCCCTTTCTTCCAACATGCTCACGAAGGCTTCCCCAACTCGGCACCTGCAGTTCTTGAATGCTACACCCTGCAGTGCAGTAGACCCGCAACCACTGCGTGGTGGCGGCAATGTCCACCCGCTGCGATGTGGACTCCGGCTGCTGCTGGGCCACAGCGGAGGCCCAGGTGACTGCGTTGAAGCTTGTCTCCAAGTTGAAACTGCTGGGCAGCTGGTTGCCCCATTGCACCCTTACCTGACGCACACAGGGAAGACTTCTTGCCGTGCTGTGCGGCCTTGAAGGCGTCTTAGGAGGCCTGCCTGTCCTTGCAACATTTCTCGGATGGACAAAACCCTGCACCAGCTCAAACCAGTGAACCTATAACAAAGGGGTGCTTAGTGTCTATATGTGTATGTGTATATATATATGTGTGTGTGTAGTGTATATACATATACACATACCTACCAATCAACTGGTGGGATTTCCACCATTCTCCAAACATTTTTCAGGCCAGGTCACATGATCAAGCGTGTACCTCCCCAACAAGTCCACCCAAATCCATTGATCTCCTGCGGCCGATCGCCACTGCGTGCTGCTGAGCCCATCAACTGCCCTGGAGGCAAACTCATCTGGCAAAATGGACGATGATGCAAGAACCGGCTTGTTCAAAGCCACATTCTCAGCCTTGGTGGCAAAAAATGGGAACAGAAAATGGGAACAAACAATGCCAGCAACTTGTGAAGCAACTTGTTACCAATTCGGCAACTTACAGTTAGTTGCAAAGGCAAGTCAAGAAGCTGGCGCAGCAGTGCTTGCCGGCAATGCTGTGGTTACTGGAGCTGCCGTGGTTGCTGAGTCGGGCCCGGCCACGTCATAGACAAAGAGCTCTTTGATGCTGCAGGTAGGTCCGAAGGATAAACAAACCTTGTTGAGATTTTGTGGTTGGGTGTGAAAACCCACCTATGAAATCCTATGAACAGACTTTGTTACAACATCAACATATTTAGACCAGGAACAATGCGAATCCATTGTGTCGCAGGTGTGTTCCCTGGAAAGACTGTCCGAACGGTTTGTCCACTGAGGGCTGACGCGCGAGGAGAGATGGGCGTCCACTGCACACCATTAAGACTGGTCTGTATTTCGTACTCTGCGGCATCTGCAGCCCAATGAACAGCCACCTCTGCCACCTCAGCGAAATCAGCACTGCCACAAACATTAAGAAAAGAAGAGTGGCGACTTTGTGCTATGTTATTACCATTGACCCTAGCTGCCCTAGCTCTCGCCTTCCTGCCCCGCACTGCTACCTAGGAGGAGGCACAGGTTCTGCCAGCAAAAACTGACCTTGACCTGGGTGCTTTTCTCACCGCCCTGTGCCGTCCCCGCCGTCGACCGAGTCGCAGTGTAGAGACCCAACAGGTCCACCCAGGCCCATGGCTGCGCATCTCCGACGGCTGAGGCCCACTGGGTGTTCAGCAACCCGTCAGTCATGCGACTCACATGTCCATCTGGCAGCTGCTGGCTGGAGGCCAGCACTGGTCGCTGCTGCGCCAGGTTCACTCCTAGGAATTTGGAAGGGAGGACACAAGAAGACTGGGAAATGAGCACGGCTGCAATCAGTCGAGAGTCGATTGACAGTTCCAGTGCTTCCACTGCTAGTAGTGTGCGGAGAGGATGAAGTGCCTGTTACTTCCTGAGTGCTTGACACCGCTGGAGTTGTTGGTGACAACGTGCTTGAGGTGGTCGGGGCTGTGCTAGCCCCGGGCACATCGCCATGGATGGTGAGCTCCCGAATGCTGCACGCAGTCTGGCAAACCACCTGGCTTCCATAGGAAAACATCTAACTGCACGAAAGCCATGATATAGCCAATCTGGCTTTGTTTGCGCAAGAGATGGCACCTTCCTACCAACAAGATAAATAATTTAGCGAGATTAGGGCAACTTTGCAGAGATCTGTCCTGTTCTTTGAGGGCTTTGTGCGAAGTCTCCACACATCGTTTGAAGTATGTGCCAGTTTGCGGTGGATTAATTCCCTGTCCTTTGAACCAATCACTACCAATCACTACCCCTCCAGGAGTGACTCCCTCCATGTTCAACGTTAAAACCTACAGCGCGGCACCCTGATCCACTGCGTCAAGGCAGGTGGGCTGAACTCAGTGCTGATAAATCCGTCAGCTCCGTTCACCGTAGCCAGGTCGGTCCACTTGATGCCGTCAGGTGCAGTCTGAAGCACCTGAAGGCCGCGGAGCGGATGAAGGTCGCGGAGATGAAGGCCGTGGCACCCCAATTTGCCAATTTGGGGTCCCAAAGCCTTCGTCAAAATTCGAACACTTGGAGGGGATGATCTAAATGTCTTCAGGTTTTGGGCTGTATGATACTGTATATAAATATATCTCATATATACATATATATATATGTGTGTGTGTGTATGTATGTATATCATTGTATATCTTCTAAACACAGATGATGCGACCGGCCCAGGCACAAACTGCTGCGGCACATCGCCGAAGAGGAGCACGATACGATTCACCGCATAAAGCCCCAAGAGATCCACCCACAGCCACTGATCGTTCATCGCCACTGACGCCCATTGGGAGTCAAGGTCACCATCCACCGCCTTGTAGGCATGTTCCATGGCAGATCGGAAGGAGGAGGACAGAACGGGCTTCTGGAAAGCCTCAGTGGGCCATGTGAAGGAGATCTAAGGTCTAAGCCTTTGATCTTTGGCTCACATTCTTGAAGCAATGATGAGCATTCCCAGTGCCCCATTTTGTGCCAAGATGCGAGATTCGGTCCATAGAATGGAGTTGTAGTGGATGGCCCACTAACTGTGCTGGTCACGACTGTGGTGGTTTCGGGGATCACCGTGGTGACTACATCAGACACACTGGTTGTGCTTTGAGCCTGGCTGGTCGCTGTGGTTGCTGCAGTCGATGTAGTTGCAGTGCTGGCTGTGGTGCTGGGCTCGGTGGTGGAGATGACAGGTGTTTCCGCATCCTCAAACACCTGTGCCAAACTGACACGTCCACGATGTTTTGGCTTATGATGGAGTATGATTTATTACTATTCACGCTGAATTTTTTGGGTGTCTCAAGCAGTTGGACTTCATCGACCTCAATTCACCAGACCGATTGTGTGTTGAAAGTACCTGGGCATTTGGTAGAGTGTGCCAAAAGCCTTTGCAAGTCTTGCAGGGCTTCCAGTGAGACCCGTTCTTGCCAACACTCGTTGATGGGAACTAGACATGCTCCAGTAAAAACATCCTACTCCCATCCCCACATTCGTTCAACCCCATCGACCTGCGCAAACTCACCCCCTCGCCCATCGCATCCTGTCAGACCACCGTGCCCGACCTGGAACTCCCAGAGTCGCAGGTCGCCACCGCTCTGGCACTGCACACGGACCCAGCGGGCGAAGGTGCCGTGCACGTCCAAGCGTTGCAACTCGGAGGAGCCCAGGGCCACGGCCAGAGTGGTCCAGTCACTCGCCATAGCTCCCTGCAAGAGGTAACCTGGGGCCCAAGCATGGTGTTTCACCATGTCTGGTTGAAGAACTGGGGACCAAGAAATCCACGGACGTCTGACATGGAATTCGGACTTGATCATAAAGGATCATGAAGGTAGAAGATGTTTTCGAGTTTCAATATGGACAACTGAGCAACTGCTGGGATAGAATTCACCCCACAACAGCACCACATGGGACAAGGCGTGCACTGCTCCAAGGTCGACCGAGATCCACGGGCTCAGCTCTGCCACAGTGGGGCTCCAACGTGTGACGAAGAGGCCATCGACGGCGCGCGCGGCTGCGAAGTCTGCAGAGAGCTCAGAAGAGGCCACAGCCAGTCGGTACAAAGCCAAGTTCTCCTGAAGAAAAGCAATTCTCATCCTTTGGCCCTTTATGTCAGGTCATGTGATGTCATGGGGGTGGCATCCTGTGATTTTAAAGTATGGAAGTGCACCACTGCCTATCAGTGTTGCGATTTGGCACCCCCATTCTGCATCCATCAGACAGAAAGCAACAAAAAAGAGACAAAGAGGCATGCCATCTGGAGGCATGGAGAACACCTGAAGGGGTTTTTGCCAAAGGTGTCTTCCCAGGTCTTTTCAAAACCTGTTTGCCTTTTCGACCCGTTCGCACCAAATGCCTCTCCTCTGCAGCTCCGGTGGACCCAGTGCTGGAGACCAGACTGGTGCTGGGAGCTCCGGCAGTACCGGACAGCGAGGCGGACCAATAGAGGGCCCAGGCCCACGTCAGGCCGTCGTCCATGTGCTCAGGCAGCATGGCGTTCAACCTACACATGCCGTTTATTACTATACATCTGCTTGGAAATCCAAACCTTTGACGACCAGCAAAGACCCACAAATCATGATGTCTCTGACTCAACCACCGGCTTAATTAGTACATGTCTGTTTTCAACCTGGAACCCCCTTTTGGGCGAGCTGCCTCTGGTAGGCTTCCTCGGGCTCGATGATCGCCAAGGTGCCGGTGACGAGCAGCGAGGTCCAGGGGTCCGTGGGACTCAACGGCAAGCGCGAGAGAATGTTATCCCACTGCTCCGGCTGAGCAGCTGGCCGTTTTTGAGGGTGTCTTTTTGGTCAAGCATGGTTGACCAAATGGTTGACCAAAGCGTTTTGGGAAAGAATTGGAAACATAAGTATCCGGTCTCAGACTTACTCCCAGTCATATGCTGTCCCAGGGATCTGCTCGGCACTCTGGAGAGGTACTTGTCTTGGGGGGACGTGGGAGGAACTGACATCTAACCCCACATTACTTATTATATATATATATATTACTATATCAGTGCAATATAAAATCCATAATATGTTGTGCATAAATATGTGTTTATATAAATATATATATAGAATATTATTGAATAATATTATGACATCACTTGCTTTGGCCGGCGCCAGCTCCTGGCGACAAAACTCTGGCGTTCGGATCATCAGTAGGGCAGGGGTCACCGGAAGCATCTGAATGCCGTGGATGAAATCGTAGCGCCAGCCGAACCAAGTGGCATAATCCACCTTGTTCTGGAAGAAAATGCCTGGTAAAACTGAATCTGTTAGCGTAGACAGTGTTCCTAATATAAATTCGTCGTTTGACAACTGGTTCAATGCAAGGCCTGGCAGTTTTGGTGCACACAGCTTAGCTCATCTTAGCTGCTAAGACTGGAAATCACCACTGTCTGCGTTCGAATGCACTTCTTCTCAACCCGACTCAACGCGCGCCACCACGGGCGCGGCGTGGCTAACCCGCCTGTGACGTGGTTCGTCACAAAATCCTCAGGATGGTGAGGGTTGTCCTCCTTCATCAGGAAGAACTCACGGATGGTCATGGCACAAAGGGTCAGCATCGTGGTGCCGAGTTCCCGCAAGGGCTCGCGTTGCAACACCATGCCCCACAGGTGGATTCCGTACCTGGATTTCGTACATGCAGACCTTACCCTACCCACCAACTCACTTGGCATGCCAAAACCTTACACGATCTTGCCTTGCAATGAGGACAACCCTTTGTGACGGGGACCGGTGAGGTTCGAGACTGAACCGGTGAGGTTCGAGACTGAACCGGTGTACGGCCCCAACGCCCCCTGAGCCCCCAACACCTTTGTAATGCCACCAGCACCATTCGCGACTTTATGCCAACCCACTGTTTAAGTCACGGTCAATGATCACAAGTCTGATTCGACCCACTCTTGCTGGAGAGTCCAGCGGAATTCAGCCCAGCTGCAGAAGGTTGAGTTCCTCAGATGTGGATTCTTGATCTTTACCATCCGCGGATGGAATCACCCCACGGCTCCAGCTGTGAAGGTCAAACCAGTCGAAGGAACGGAACTGGGGGAAGTGCGTGTCCTGCACGTCGCGTCATGTGGGAGCATGTGACAGCCGGAACAAAGGGGTGGTGCGTATCACAATGTCACAATGTGTTGGCTTGTCAAATTGAGGGCAGTTCGCGTGGCACACGGGACCTGCTGCCCCTCTTTGCAGGGACCCACAAATCTCCAGAATTTCATCCCGAATCTGATCTCCTTGCGCCGACTTCCGGCATATCACCAGGCCATGTCGAACTATGAGCACCCCTTTCCGTTCAGTGAGCTTCTAAAGATTCTAGCTTGGTGTGACCGCACTGCAACTAGCAACCTGAGCTCTTGATCTCCGTATCTACCCATCAAAATCTTAGATTAGCTTCTGCCTGACATATCCAGCATGTCAGCAGCTCAATCAGAATTGCTTTATCTGGCAAATGCCAAATGCTCCCAAAAGTCGCCTGAAAGCACTTCCGTTTGGCCACCCCCCCTCTCCTGCACGCTGGGATTGGCTGTGTCGCGAATCAAGGTGTCCACGAAGGAGATCAGGTCCTGGTTCTGAGCGAACTCTGGCTTCAACTTCACCAACACGGCAGCGGAGACCACATAGTAGCCTGGTCAACTATGTAACAGCATGTAACAAAAGCCACAGCAAACGAAACAGTTTGGCCACCATCCAGCATGGAGAATCTGATCCAGTGATCTCATCCAGAAAGGCGGGAGCAGCAAACAAAACACGATTCAAACGGCACACACGCTCCCATTTGTTGGTTCAACCCCCCCAAAAAAACACAACAGATGTTGGCTCTCCAAGCAGCTGAAATGATAGTGGTGATCGTTGTAGCATGCATTCCCGAAGTCCGCGTTCCTGCACCCGATGTCGCTGAAGCCCTCACGACTGGCCACTCCATGCCACTCTTCGTCGTAGTACAAGCCCAAAGGAGCACCGTTGCACTCAGGCACGGTTGGAGCGTAGAGACATTGGAAGCCCCTGCCGCGGTACAGAACTCCCAACAACACCATTGCAATCCATTCCACTCCCAGAACTTTCAGGAATACAGACTTGGCCTCCACAAGTAACTTGGAGTCGAAGATTGAGATATGTCAGAATCTCTACTAGTACTACTACACTTGGGATTCCACGTGACCCACTCATGTGGCTACTCCAAACCCAAAGCCCGATGCAGTGACCCGGCAGCGAGTTAGGCCTGATTAACAGATTGGCGCAAGACTGCGTGTGGCTGTGCTCCTTGCCATAGTACTTCTCCAGCATCAAGCAGGTATAGGCCACCTCAACGGAACATCGACCTTTGGTTTGGTCCACTGCGATTCGGGGAGACAGGGTGAGTTGAAGCTGTCAAGAAAAGAACGCGTCACGATACCAAGAAAAGCAGCCGGCCTTCTGAAAGCCTTTGCCACTGAAATAATAGCTGCCCTTGAACATAGCTTGCTTCCAGTCCCATGTTCACCCGCATCCGTGTGAAGCTGACGAAGTTCTGACCCAATCCGGCCCATGAATCACTACTTGGCCTAGGCCTAGACCCGGAACATTCTGGGAAACACCCTGCCCGGCACTGCAGTTGGCACCTGCCACGCCCTTCATCAGCCCTTTGGTTGGCGGAGCCAGCGGTGTGAGCTGCGTCACCACCTGCAGCCAAATAACTGGGTTCAGCCAAGCATGTGGTGAGTCCTTTAAAGACAACCACAAGCGATTAACGTGGCTAATCCATGTTAAGCCGAACACCTCAACCAGCTCGGAGACAATTGCTGGACAACCGCCGCCAGTAGGGGTCGAACCACTAGACTCACTAGATGATGAGCGTCCCCTCCTGCTTTCATCCTCCATGGCTATGGCTCATCATATCTCATCATGTTTTGGGAAGGACCGGTCATCGAAATCATACGAAGGACCGGTGAACGCAGCTTCACAGGGACCGTCAGGGATGCCTGCGTATTGCCAGCCAAGAGCTTCTGATGGTGTGCGTAGGCAAAGTGCAAGACTTGCTTTGGAACAGCGGCATCTTTGGTGAAGCGGTACCTGATGGCAAGACCACAACAGGTGCGGAGGAGCAAACTGAGCAAAGAGTTCGGATGCCAACGGTTCTCATATTCTGGGGGTTCGAGTTCGAGTGTTCAGTAAGGTCATCATCAACCATGATATCAGTCTAATCCATTCTGATCCAACTTCCTTTCACCCCAACTGACACTCTCGGTCACGTGATCAAGCCATCAGCTTCCAGCTCCAGGTGCCAATCCACCAGCACCGCCGCAGCGTGAAAGTCCAAGATGTCTCGATCCTCAGGTGCCTGCACTTCGGCCAGGCGAATCCAACCCTCGAAGGCCTTCGTCATCGTCCCCTGAGCCGTGAAGTCGAAGGACTCGTCGGCAAAGGCACCAGAGGCGTCCAGGGCGTACAAGCGGAATTCCTGGACAAAAGCAGGAGTAATGGGACATCAGGTGGGAAACATGTGAAGAGTTTCAGTTGGCTGTTGCTGTTTCCAGCTCGCAAATATATAGCACTCCTCCATAGCTTGAAGTAGAAAGGAGCTTCACAAGGTTTAACCATACCAGAAGATTCTTGCACTGTGGGGCATGTGTGCAGGGCCAAGGAAAACTAAATACTCAGAAAAAGAACGGGATTTGTTTGCGGGGTGAAACCTTTTTGAAAGCGATGCAGATGTCTGGCCAAAGGTTCCTTTCCACCATTGTTGAGGAGTCTCCAAATTCCATTGCTGACGCGCTCAACCACAAGCAAGGCTCGGTCGGATGAAATCTTCGGAGTGAATCCCGTATAGAAGCCGGAGACATAAGCCATGCCACTGTAGATGGGGAAAAGGATCTTGCGTCCAGTGCCGCTGGGTCCGCGCACCTCTGCATGAACTCCGAACAAGCCCTCCTTCACAATCGTTTGTCCTTCTTGGCTGGCGACCTCCAGTGCTGACAAGCCAAACTCGCTCACGAAGGGTGAGAAGTAGTACCTGATCTTTTCCCCACCGTTGGTCTCAGAATCACCATACTGCATGACTCGGGCGTCACTGCTGGCCCGGGACACCTTCATGTTCGGTTGTCCGGTGGAAGCATCATAGCGCAAGACATAGGGCATGGCATGGATGGACCTCAGCGCACCCAGCGCACACATGGGTCGTAGATTTGAGGGGCTCCATCACTGCTGGGGTGTCTTTCAGATGTCCTTCAGCATGATTCGCAGGTGCGGAGGTGGGATTGGAGGCAGCTAAATGTTTGTTTGAAGAATGGCTCCGGGACCTGAAAACAGGAACATCCTGAGACCACAAATCACACACCATTTCAACCGGTGAAAGTGACAAGCCACCGGATGGACATAATTTACTGACCAACAAGCGCATTCGGCATCATTCTGCACAGAGACACCCTCAAAAAAGAGTGCATGCGGTCAGAAAAAAGCCACTGGCACGTGTGACATCTCATTGAACAATTACTGTCCGCAAGATGATCTTTTCCATTGTGATTTCTTTATTCAAAAAATTGCGTGTCACTCTTAGCATCGTTTCGGCCTGACTCAAGCCTCAACCACCCAGACATTCAGTGGCCGCACCAATGCCTCAAAGTCACAACTCGCGACCTTCTTCGACCACCCAATTGGCCCAGAATTTGTTGGTGGCCTTCGCCCCATCCACTTCCGTGCCAAAGGGTGGAAGGTGACGAGCTTGTGCGGGCAATGGAAACACGCTGGCATCGGGACGCTCCAGTGCCAAGGGGTGCAACAAGGAGTTGTCACCTGACGAGCCAAGGCGTCACACAGCAGTGCATCAAGACAAAACACTATACAGATCTATACATAACATAGTATATATATATATCATATAATAGTAATGGACATCAAATCATGCTAAATCCCTCATATTGAATATTGCTGTCTCCCCCTTTGATCCTCTTTGCACGTCTTTGCCTTTGAATATTGCTCCTGACCCCTGGAGGGAAGACCCCCACCTGCTGCAAGTGGCACTGATAGGACAACAATGAACCAGGCCGCCATGGCTTGCTATCTGAAGCTGGGCGATCCGAAGTTCCGTTCAGACGGGTCCAAATCCTATGATCCAAAATCCTCCGACGCGGCCGATTCGCATGGGATTCGCCTGCTTGGCTCACTCCCTGGAAACGCACTGACCAACAGTCAGACCTGCAACTGCTTCAAAGTGACAGAGTGAAGTAACAACAAATCTTTCGGCTGATGCAACATGAAGAAGAAAGACAATTAAGGATCTAAATCAACTGAACGATTGGTTCAACTTGCCGCACTCTATTCATTACATCAGGTATCACCCCATCACACTTTGCCACACTTCACGTCTCAGTTGCACTTGTCAAGCACTTGTGCATGTTTTCTTACCGATCTGTTCGCTCTCGAGCAACCGGTCTAGCCGCTCCAGCCATTTGAAATGCAGATGAGGACGATTCTGCTGTGTGGCCTCGAGAGGCTTGCGTGCCACATAGAGCTTGCACCTAGGGCAAGCGTTTCTTGCTGGAAAAGGGCGAGGGGTGCAGAGATCAAACGGAGAATGTAGCATGTAGTTCACCAGAACCCTGAGGTTGAGGCTGTGTCCAACCCTTGTTGTCAAAGGCCAGGCTTTCCTGATTTGAAAGCACCGTGCAGTTGTGTCTAAGCGAGTAGGGCAATGAGATCCCCCAACAGATACAGCCCTCAAGTCCTAGACAACCCTCAAGTAGCAGACTCTGGACTGCTCTGCAGGACATGCAGAAAGAAATAGAAGGACAAGCAAATTCTCGAAGCAATCGCCAACACCCCCAGCCCCAGCCTTCCCATTCCCAAGACCAGAACACCTACCACGCTGCACCCTTCATGACACATATGACACGAAGGCCTCCAAAACCAGGCGGCCCTCCTTCTCCAAGAAGCTCATGACCTGACCTGCACAGCTGAGCAGGTCACCATGCAGGTCGCCGGCCGGACCGGAGCTTGGGCCGGGCCTTCAAAATGCTTGCTGCAAATCGTCACCACCTTGGAATGAGTCTGAGACAGTCTCAGAAGGTAGCCACAGTCGGAGGATGTGATGCATGTCACCATTTCTTCAGTGTGATCTGATATGTAATATATCGAACATGCAAACTGGTAGAACATGAACATGACTATTGAATTGATGATACATCGCTGATGCCGCTGCTGCATCATGGCCAGACTGAGATGCCGATGCACAGCTCAGTCATTGTTTGATACGCGATCAAGTACCCACTAGCACGCACAATGCCCTCAGCAGCGCAGGGATTCCTAGTGCAAATCATCTGGCACATCTCCTTAGCAATCCTTGGGGCCACACCAAGGCAACTCCTGGATGAGTGCTCCAGGTGGTGGTGCAAGGGTCAAAAATAAGGAAAGCTTGTGCACCACTGGGCAAATGCCATCTGATAGGACCTGATGGGAGGTCCGTACTCAGAAAAACAAGGCCCTCAAAATGCACCCCGCTGCAAAGCCAAGGCCTTTTCTTCACCCTGTGCTGTGGTCTTGAGCTTGCGGCGTGCCTGTACAAGTGCCGGCCTGCCACCTGCAAGTTCTGGATCTTCAAGGTGCGGTGAGGAGCGAAGATACACGACAGGTGACACTAGAACTCTTTACCCCCAACTTGTCCCATCATATCCTTTCATCCAACCCTCCACCTACGTAGTTTATCATAGGTAGTCACGCGAACTTCCAAACACACCCCAAACACACCCCTAGCCCAAGCTTGTGATACACCGACGCAACCATTCAGCACAATCCATCCGGTGAATTCATGAAGTCTCCACGGTGTGCCTGGCCTCATCAGGAGGTGGGCGTTAATGACATCAACAAAGAGGGCCACCAGCGCTCCGCGCAAAGAGTTGTGTGAAGAAGAACTCCCCAGTGCTCGCCCTTGCGACTCCTAAGTTGGCAGCCGGCCACAGTCCAGCTCCAAAATCCGCGACACGATATGGTGAGCATGTCACAATGTCACTGGCCACTTCGAGAAGCATCCAAGATACCTGCGGTAATGAAGCCATAAAGAGAAGCAGGTTCTGGCAATATAATATAGAAACATCTTGTAATTACGAGGTGCATGGCGGACCTGTGACACGCACCGCCCACCACCCACCTGCACCCACGTCAGGCCGAACGGTCCGCTTGGCCAAGGCGTCCGATGCCACACAGGTCAAAGGCGCCCAGCAAGTTCTTCCGATGCCCCGGGGATTTGATCCAGCCCTGGCATCGTTGGAAGAAGTCCGGACAAAGAAAATGAAGAAAATAGAACATCCGAAAGAGTTTGTTATACCTAGCGCAGACACTGGGTCACTGGGTGTCCTGTCTGGTGACCTATAAGCAGTGTAGGGGCCCGTCCATTGGTAACCCCTTTTCCACCCTTGGCAGCTGGTATGTTGTTACGTTTTGTTAGATTTGCGACACTGTGGGACATGTTTTTTTGCTGTCGGCTTCGTTACCGGCCCACGTTTGGGGCTATTTCATCCATTTCATGATGTGATTTGTCACCTTCGGTTTCACACAACATTGTCATCGGTTTCACAACATTGTCATCGATGAGTCGTGTGATTAAAAATGGGTTGGGTGGGGTGGGTGGGGTTGTGATGGTATGAGTATGAGCACCTTCGGCTTGACAACATTGTCTTCGGTTTCACAGCATTGTCATCGGTTTCACAACATCGTCATCGGATTTTGATATGTTGCCTTCGGTTTCAGAAGTATTGTGTTTTGTCCCTGCTCTTTTCTCTTGAGTTTTTCAGAGATTCGTTTTCTTATTCTTTGGAATCGAAGATGAATGTTTTCGAGAAGTGTCTGCAGCAGTTTGGATTTTAGTTATCGAAGAGGAATATTTTACTGAGAACTGTCTGCAGAGACGAGCGGTTCAGAGTTCTTTTTTGGAAACCCAAGAGGCATGCTTTGACGTGTTTTTAGCGCCATGTTCTCCACCCGGGCAAATCCTGCAATAGAGTTCCTTGGCTTCCCTGAAGAAAGGTAAGCGCAACCCAGCCCTGTGGCGGTATTGTCGATCCTTTCAGTGGAGATGGGAGATCGGAACCCAAAAGATACTGACGCATACCGCGCAGCAGCTTCGCTTGCTCTGAATGTGGGAAAGAAAATGTTGGCAGCATTTTGAAAGCTCTTAAGCAAACACTCAAACACCCTCGAAAAAAACCGTCCCGTTTTCAGGACAAAAACCCTGGAAGCGTTGCATTTTTAAGAAATGGTGACCTGGTTTCGGCGACCCGTTTTCGCCGATAAAATGTGTTTCTCGCTGCGTGCAAACGCACGAAATGAACCAAAACGTGGGCCAGTAACGAACCCACCGGGATGTTTTTGAACACATCCTCGAGAAACATGTGCCACAGTGTCACACAGTCGATCTTGTCATGACCTGGCCGGTCTTCCTGCTGAGCCTGCAAGGAGGGTGACACATGGCGTGGCATCCAGGTGGCTAAGCTGGTTCTAATCTCTCGCCATTGAAGGGTTGAATCGGTTGAATGTTGGATGGTTGGTAGCCGTCCCCGTGACTGGTGCATCGTTCCGTAAAAATGAAGTTACTTCAAGAACATTCCAGAACTCATTCTGTGCCTCCTGGTCCCCACTCAAACCAGCGCAAGCCTCAAGCAAATCCCTCCGCGTAGACCAGAAGAATAAACATTGCTACACCAGCATAACCGCTCGCTGGAGCCCACCTGCTCCCCTCCGAGCCTGCCTGGACTGCTACACCTGCAGTATCTGCCACCCCCCCGTTGTAGGCCAAATTCCTGGGCACAGCCGTGCCAGCAAGGGAAAAATGCTGCAACCATTGCCGCAACCCCAACACATACCGCAATCGGTGGTTTTATGGGATGGATGGAGCTTGGTTGTCTCACTTCTTGAAGGTTTTGAACCAGGTTATGGATGTAGAGTGGAAAACCCAAACAGAGGACTTGTTTGCATTGCTTGTCGAGCTTATTGTCCATGACAGGGCCAGCTCAGGATCGACCTCCAGGAAGCTTGGGCGTGATGTCTCGGGGAACTAAGTGGCTGGTGAGAGATGGCTGCACATGTCCGTACAACTACCGCCCTGCAGGCCCTGCAGGGCCCTGCAGACTTTTGGCACACATCCCCAAAAAGTGATTCATAAAACCTGAAGAAAATGCGGAACTTGGGATGCGCTGGGATTCATCAATGATCAGCACTGAAGAAAAGGCCGGAAAGCACTCCCCACAAAGCCCCCAAAACAGAACACCATTGTCGGGTTTCCTTGCACAATGATCACTCCATTTTTCTGGAATTCTCATGAGCAGAGCTGCCTCGCAAGGAGCTTCGCATTCAAACCTGGAAGCCGCCTGATGAGCACAACCGTTGGCGCGGAAAAATCACTGCGGTGGCCCATGAAACGACAGCCGCTCCCACCACTCCGGCTCAATCCACGACGGCTGCTCTGGCATGTCAGGCAAAAACCGTGCTCAGGGAGCTTAGTTGGAAGAGCTTGGTGCTTCCCATCATCGATGCTCCACTCTTGGGCGAGCCGACAGCCAGGACCTTGGGCCAAAGATGGGGCTTGTTGCGCCAGTCTTTCGATCTATGGCGAAGACTAGACCTTTTAAGTACCTTGACACACACTGCTCAAGGCGGAGGAATATCGGAATATGGTATGGCAGTATAAGACTGTCAGGAGGGGGCGCTGCGGGCAGTTTGTTGGAATGGCTGCAATTCGTGCTAGGTGTCGGAGTTACTACCGCTCCTGGCCTCTGGGGTGGCGTCGCATCATGAAACATTTGCAGGTGTAACTTGACACTTGAACACTTGGAACCCGAACACGACACTGATTGGATGAACGAGCTAAAGGATCCCAAAACCTTCAAAGGATTGTGATCAGAACAGGCAGAAGAACCTCCATGACCAGAAGCTCTAGGACTCTAGGACTCTTGGCATCCCTACAACAACACGTGGCTGCTGAAAAATGTACTCAAAGCACCAAGTGGCTGTAGAGGCCATGCTTAGGGACCATCCCATTCGTGCTCGAGCTGTGCCAGTGAATCGGGCGACCGGCTCAGCACCTGCAACCATTGGTCTTACAGAACCTTGTGTCGGTGCCCAAGGAAAACAATTTTGCTGTTCACTGTTGGCCACAACTCAAGCGTTCGATTCCATGTCACATCATGCAACATCCAACGCCCCGCGCTCCCAAAAAAGACCACGGATCAACGTTGAAGATTGAAGCGAGCCACGCTCTCGAGTGGCATCGTAGAGGAAGACGGTGCCCCTTTCCTTGGACTTGAGCACATGCATCCCACGTCATGTGATCTTGGAGATCCTCCATCCCTTCACAGTGAACTGACATCTCTAGTGAACACTCTGTGTGCCAATGACATTCCCACCATTGCCACTCCATCTCTGGACATCAGAGCCAAGAAAGGAGTGGATCCTTCTGCCAGCACTGTTGGAGGGATCTGGAGCCATGACAGAAACATCTCCCCGCTCCCCCGTGGCTTCCAGGCAACCCGTTGGGCGAAGGGTGCACCAACCGCCAGGTGCCTGCCATTGGTGGCAATGGACCAGCCGAAGCGACCCCAGGGCTTCTGCGGATGCCAAAGCTCCTGTGACAGGTCGACCCTGGGATAGATTTACATAGTCAACCTGACTGTAGCAGTGATAAGATGAAAACAGAATCCCCCCACCAAGATCTGAAGTTCAAACAACTTTCACCCGATGTATGGCCAACCTGGAGAAGCAAGAAGCTACTAGTAGCTCCTGGCATTACTACTAGTAGCTAGAAGCTACTAGTAGCAAGGCACCTTACTACTACAAAGAAGGAATCAAATTCCTTGCCACAGTCGCGCAAGCCCTTTTTGTTCATTTGCACTCATCGCCAGAAAAGACCAGCGGCATGCACCTGCGCCGCTGGGTGATGCTTCGTCTAAAGTGAGGTATCATGAATCATGACTGCTCAAACTAAAGGCCACAATCGCACACAAAACTAGAGCGACTCACATACGTACCAGGAGCTGTTTTTTGCGGGAAGGCGAAGGAGCAACAACCAATCATGATAAAGTGACAGCGATGGTACTTCCCCGTGCAACTTGGATTTGTGAACCTGTGTTGCTTTCAAGGGGTATGGTGAGCGGTGAGCACATGATGCAAATATCAAAGAAGTGATCTCAAATGATCTGCAACGTTTCGATGGTCAAGGCGTTCCAACTTAACTTTTATTAGGCATTATAAATTATGATGCATTATGATGCTTTATGCAATACAAAGTCCATCATCCGTACAGAAACCAAGATCCGCCTTGTCAATCATGACAGAGGCAAATCCTTGCGAGCTCTCGCGCATCAACGCCAAGAACTCCGCCGCAGCTCGTTCCTCATCCTCCTCCTGACCCAAAACGGCGAAACGTGGCCGTTCCTCACGCCATGGCCGTCTACAGCCAAGCAGGCCAAGAATGCTTCAGCCGTCCCAATCCCAACACATGGCTTTGAAATCTCTTCATTTGGAGCTCCACTTCCCCCCACGCCCGGAACCCGCGCAGCGTTCGGTCGCCCGTCCTCTACCCGCAAGCGTTCCTGAACGCCGGCCACTGCCGCCATCGGCTGCCGTGCGAGCTTGGCGCAGCCTGCGCCTGCAGCTGCAAGCTGCAGCAGAGCAGCGAAAAGCTGCGCAAAGGGCCGGAGTGCCAGGTAGGCGCGCTTGGCCAATTTGAAGCCTTGGTGGCAACATGTGGCAATTGTTGGTCACCTCACCTGATGCAGAACTTCTAAAATCATTTGGGGATTTTAGGGTGCGAACGAAAGGATTCGAACCAAAAGATTTAGAATCAACCTCCAACTGTCAAATGCTTTTCACAAGTGCCTCAAAAACATCATCAATTTCTGGGCAAATGGTCATCTGAATCTCTGCCTTAGTGGCATTTGTTGAGCCGCTTGCTAGCGATGAGCGCTTGCGCGATTTGTGCTGGAAGTCTCACCGGGGGCGAGAGTGGTTTTGGGTCGTCGCCCAACACAAAGCCGAAGTCGATGTGGAACAAATGGCCTGGAGGAACAGCATGGGACGCCCAAGGGGGGACAACAGGCAGAACAGAAAGCAGGCGGAAGGCCTGCAATCCAAGAATCCAACTTCCTTTCACCCAAAGCATCCCCGGAGTCTGGGACACTCGGAGTCTGGGACGCCTTTACCGCGTTTTTGTCCGAGCCTGAGCTGGTTAAGCAAATGTTCTCTAAATGTCGATCCCCAATGCCGAGGACGTAGGTCACAACACAACTGGCTGCCACGCTGCCGCACAGGTTGTCCATGACCTGAATTGCCCACAGGCCATGCCATTTCAGCTGTCCATCCCAAAAGTGAATCATGTTCAACCCATAGGTCTGAACAACCCATAGGTCTGAAATAACCCATAGATCTAAAATGCTGGGTGAGGATCGTCTTTGCTTGGCTCATCCATGTCGAAAAGTTTGAAAGTTCGCAGGTCTATGTTGATTTGAGACATGTGAGTTGCATCGGTCAACTCTCTATAGCTGTATTTCTGCCGGTTTGCTATCAATCCCAGAAGCACCTCAATAAACACAACCACTTCATGACGTCCTTTCGCTGTAAACCCGAAACCTTCACTTCTTCCCCCGCCGCCGCATCATCCAAGTCGCCGTGTCCACCGTCATCGACTTGGGCCGATGCTCCGACAGCCAGGCCATGACGTTCCCCCGCGAGTGGCGGAGGACTTCGGTCAAACAGGTCGACTCCGGAACAAACTTCACCTGATTCGACGGGGGAAAACCTCCGTCTCTTTTTCCGTTGGTGGAAGGAAAGAAGAGTCGCAGTCGGGGAATAGAAACCGTCCGCGGTCCGTTTGGAATTCAACTGCTTGGGTCCTGTAGGTATTTACAGAAAAGAACAACACCGTTCCAGTGTGGCACACTGCAAACCGGTTTTTTTTCGTCTTCAGGAGGGGATAGGGACTTGCACAGTAAGTAGCCGAAATGCATCTGTGACTTGCATCAATCCCGAGGAGAACAAGTCTGACCTAAATTAGTCTGGTTGGTGAGTTTGTCCGTGGCCCCGTTCTGTTGCTCCTCTCTGCGGCGGCCCCGACATTCTAAGGTCAGCACGAAACAACTCACAAACGTTCTGTCAACCCTAGTCCAACAAACAACCAGGGCAAGCTGCATAGCCAGCATTGGGTGTCACTGCCAGCACCTGAAACTCAGCCAGCTGCAGCAACTGAACATCCTCTGGCAGCAGGTGAGCTTGCCAAACGCGGCCCATCAACGACATCAACCTGAAACGGCCCCACGGGAGAGAAAGCTGTGGCGAAGACTGAGGGAAAGGCGAGTCTATCGAACCTGAGGGGACCTGGGATCTGTCCCAGCTAAAGACTCAACAGCTGAGTCGAACGCATCCAAAAAACTCCAGCATCAGCTGGTCTTGCCGCAAGTCATCGCCGACCTTGACCAAATATCTCTCAATCAGCTCTGGCTCGCACGGGCTCGGGCTTGGCGGCATCGGGCCATCCACAGACTTCTTCATCCGGCACACGAGCATCATGGGAGACTGCTTGGATGAAAGCACTTCGCTTTCCTGGCCATGGTGACTTGGTGGAGAACTTCATATTGACATAATTACAAAAGCTTTGAATGTTTCCCATGTTTCGCTGCATCGAATCTTGCCCAACACAGCATTTTGCCGAACCTACTGATCAGCTCCGCAAATCTGACCCCTACAGCAATATCAATTACCACACCCATTCATGCAAAAGCCCGCACCAACCTCACTACGATCCATGTTTCTCATATTCATACCTCGCATACAGTGTTCATCCTTCGGCAAAATGTTTGCCACCTCCACCACGGTGCCGCAGAATTGCGCTGTCGGGTCCACAGGCAAGGAGACCTGCACCCTGCGCCCCGTAGCATCCCGTGGCGAGAGCAGCGAGACCGTCGGGGCACTTGAGGACATTCTCAGGGAAGCCTTGAGCGTTGAGACAGTCAGGCCGTTAGGCCATGCTAGGCCGCTTGGTGACGCAGGGGGCGGAGTGAAGCTGTGAAACAGGTGTAGTTGTGCAACTGGCGAGCTGAACAAGAATAAGCACCCATACTTGCCGCACCCCGATTGCTCGGCATCGCCGAAAAACGTCCTCCTGCCTCATCTTCTTGGGCAGCTTCCCCAGTTTCACCACGCGCTTCAGCGAAGCTGCGCTGGAGTGCCTCCCGGAGAACCTGCACTGGACCAGGGGCACAGCAAGATGCTGCCCGTGTCCAACCGAATGACAGCATGTGGCCCCCCAGAAGTCGGTGCTGACCTACACATTCTATTGCCCACACGTGGCCTCCCACCTAATGGCCGCCCAATGAAGAAAACCCTTAATCCCAATGGCTGCAGTTGGGCCCCGCAACCCCCACCAATAGGGAAACAACACCCACCCTACTTCCCCCCGGCTTCGGCCCCTCACCTGTGTCTTCAACGCCGCCCCCACGTGGCTCCGCCGCACGGCCGTGCTGAGCGCCATGTGCTGGCGCCACAGCTCCCGTTGGCGATAGAGGTCCTCACGTGCCAAAATGTAGAAATCCTCCAGGGGGATGGACATCTGGGACATCTGGTGGAAACATCTGGTGAAAACATCTGGGAACATCTGGTGGAAACACTCTCAAGGGGTCGCAAAGCTTGGGGGAACATTGAGGATCAGAATCGGATGACTTCTTGAATTCAGCGACATCAAGGGTTCTAAGTCTTTCGGGTTGATGGGTCTATCTTGGGGGTTCCCTGGTCCTGGCCGGAGGACGAACCCTGCAGAAGCACCTGCACCAATGCCAGTCGCACGGCGCGATAGGTACCTGACCATCTGCAAGATGGGTCAGTGTCACAAGAATTTTGCTTCGAGCAATATCACGAAGCAACAGTCTACAGCGAACAGAAACTTTGAACATATCCTGCACGCTCTGCTAGTGTTCTCCAAACAAAATGCAAGCGATTCCTGAAACCATCCTGGTTTCATCATAGGGGTTGCCTCCTGCCATGCCCACCCTGAGTAACTGCTCGGGCACATGGCTCAGGATCCAAAGAAGTCTTCCCATCTCCCTCCTGATTTGACAGGCCTGGGTGCTGCTGGAACATGTTGTGACAGTACATGTTCACTTGAACACTTCGATCATGTCCATGAATCAAAAGGAACATAATGGCTGTTGGAAAATTATGGGCAAGCGGCGCAGCAATTATATAGTAGTAAAATGGTAAGCTGCTCAAGCTAGTCAAACTTGCCGTCGGCTGTTGCAACATACCAGTGGTGGGAGGTTAAGCCCACGAGAACACCGTAATGAATCAAGCTTAGCTAAAGCCGGAGACTGGCGCAACCCAGCCACACACCAAGGCCCAATAGAGGTCGCAAACGAAGTCCTCGACTGCGCGCAAAGAAAGCGTGGCACGCATCGACGCTAGATTGGCACTCGCACAAGAAATGGTTCATGCCTTTTCAAATCTTTTCAAGAAATTGGTAGATGGTCAATCAATATATTTTTTCAATATTTATACTATGGATTGAATTGGTGTCAGGCCTTTGCCTCCGCCATAAAGAGGTTCCTCTGCCCTCCACCTATCACCAAGCTTAGTCTATCTGAGCCTCCCTCCCACGAAGACCAATCCTTTTCTGCCCATCAACTCAGACTCCCAAAAATACGACCTACCAAGGACCCCACCCAAACGGAATCTGCTGAGATCTCTTCTTCCGCACCACCAAGGTTCTCGCTGCTGGGTCATCTCGGCAAACTCCACTAGGAATTCCAGGAGCGGCCTCCGGAAGCCTTCGCCGGGCACCTTCCGCTCCCATGGCCTCCGGAAGGGCCGGAACCCGCACGTTCCGATGCATGCTGGTGGACACTGTTTTTCCTCTCCCCAGTGGAAGGGGATTAACCCTACTTGTGATCAAGCTTGAGATTTTGAGGGCCCTGACCCTACTTGATGTTGTGATGACCTGTGAATCTCTTGTGGCACCAAGTGTTCTCGAAGCTTGATGAAGGCCTTGGATTGTGAAGAGTTTCGGGCTGGGAATGCTGCCGAACAATCGACATGTGTTATCTCACATAAACCAGGCACCTGTTGAACGTTGTTCTGCAAAAGCATTTCTTAACTCATGAGCTGGTACGAGTACTGATCCCACTGGTCAATCCTGCAGTCAAATTGGCAAAGTTCGAGAGTTTGGGATCAAAATATGCCACCCGCCCCAGCCCAAAGATGTCCAAAGCCAAAAGGCCATTGTGGAGTATGACAATCCCAGCATAAAGCAGATGCCAGCTGCGGAAGGATCAACTTCAGGTCCTGGGTGCCAGCTCCACGTCACAAAGGCTTGTCACGGCTTGTCACCTGGCTTGTCCAAATCATTTCATCCTCACAAACACCTGCCAACACACATTATTCCCCCAAGGCGGCCCAAACCCCGAACAAATCGCCTGGGCGTGTTCTGTACCTCTCCCTGACTCAGTTTGTGGTAGGCAGTCAACAAAAGCGACACTGGGCTGGTCCTGGTGCCAGCGTTGCTCATCCACTCGACGCCAGCGGCTGCCATCCGACCAGACTAGCTGGTAGCCATCGAACTTTCCATGGCGGCCATCGGACATCTCCTTGCAACGATGTTGCTGGGTGCTGGGTGTTTCCATGTGGAATGGAGTTGGTGCCTTATGGTACTGCAAAAGTGTGGAAGCAAACTAGACGAAGCAAATATTCAAATATATAAATATCGGATAATATATAGGTGTGGGGGCCTCCTGGATTGCGAGGGCCCACCATCGTTCAGCGTTGCATCGCTCAACATGAAGCAAATTGAAGCAACAATATCATTATTCAGCACCCTCAACGCAATACTTAGTGAGGCAAAATCTTAGCCAAGCATCTAAGTGCCCCTTACTCACGTTTCCAAGCACTTCAGCACCAGCATTCAGATGATCAGAGCACTTCAGGATGCCATAGTCACTCACCTGAAGGTTGAATCGAGCTCCAGCTTCATTTTGGTAGATTCCTGCCCAGGGACTCAGGGACCAGGTCTGGACGACGTTCTTCCCGACCGATCCGATTCCAAACCGATCGCCCTAGAGGGCCGAGAGTACAGCTGGAGCAGAGTACCGTCTCCTCTGTTTATAGTTGGAGTGAACCATCAAGAGTCACACCTGGCCTTCCCAGGGCAGGGCGTGTAACCACAGCTCATCCAGGATGGCCATGACCAATCTGGAGCGATTCCTGAGAGGACGTGCAAAATGCAAGAGCGTAGGACTCCATGTGCTTGGAAGACAGTGCAAACATGTCGGGGAAGTCGCTTCTACTCCATGTACTGGCAGCTCCCTATGCTATTATGTGCCCCGTATGCTGGTCGCCTCTCCAACATTGTCACAGCAAAATCTGTCTTCAGGGCAAACTTCCAGGGCTCATGAGGGTCGTTAGATGTTACAAACTAAACCTCCAAACGCTCGACATCGTCCATGTGTTTCTTCCATCAACATTTGGTTTCTCCAACAGGGTCTACACCGTTCGGCAGCCCAATAAGACCAGAATCTTCGGATGGTGGACCTTGCTCAGCAGAAGCAGCAGCTCGAAAATACCTGGAGACACCAAGTATGGTCACAAAGCCTTCTCGGTTGAAACAGGGATGATCAAGGGTGCGCAAGGTGTCGAAAGCAACTTCGTCCTAACAATGAACTGCCAGTGCCTCTAGCGGGTTGCGAAGTAAACACAAGCAGCACCAGACCTTGTTGTCTGTCTTAGGTCCCGTAGCACAGTGTTGAGCTGCAAAAGAAGCTGCTGCCCGTCTTCAAGGCACCTACCAACTTCTGGAGCCTTATGTCTGGCCTCTATCTCCAGCAAAACGCCATGGGCGACTTTGCCTCCCATTTATCGTCCCCAACTGGGCGACTTTGAAGGTCCCCCCCTCCGCCACAGCGTGGCCCCTACCCGGCGCCTTCAAGTCCATGTAGCTGTCGCTGATGTGCCGGATCACCGCTGGGCCGAAGCCGGCTCGTGTCCTGAGGCCGGGGCCATGTACTATGGTTGGGTGACGGGGGGGTAGGAAGATAAGGGCCGATCAATGACGTTCCATGCCTAGATATCAATGCACCTCGAAGCATTGCAAGTTTGGAGAGAAGTCAAGCGTACTGCAAGCTAGTTTTAGAGTAAATATTCACGAATGCCATTTGCCATCAGGAGCTCCCACCATCAGATCATCCACACAGACCTTGTGAAAGAATATGCAACACAACTGAACCCAAGGCCTCCCAGCTCCAGCTGAGGAGCAGCAGATGCTGGAACCGGCTCTGGATAGCCATGAACCGGGGTGAAGTAGCGTTGGTCTTTCTCTCGCCGGCGCTGGGGCACCAAGGTCCACACAAAGAGTGCATTGAGCAGCCTGAGTGTGGAAAATTGGGTTGATGGTTGAAGGAGAGGGATCGAGGGAGAGAGGATCACACATAAAGAATTTGCTGGGTGTGGGATGTGGATTGAAATAAAGTGCTGATTCAACACCTGCTAGCGGACGTCTTGATAGGAAGGCCCTTTCCCGTCAAAATGGCTTCGAGATGTTTCGATTGGTGTCTCCTTTTCAATATGCAAGGTGCCCTGCACGGCAGCCCATCAGCACAATTGCTGTAACAAAGCCAGGCGGCAGGAAGAAAAGGCAGAAGAGAAAAAGCCCCTGATACCAGCCTCAATGAGACAAACAAGAAACATGTGAAGGCCTTACGGCATGTGTGCCAGGCTGCCAAGTGTTGCCACCTACTTAGTTCTGAAAGAAAGCCGCCAGCGGAATAGGAAGCTCCAATGTCTGTCCCAAACCAACATGTTGCTATCTGGCCCGTCCAGCTGCATTGGACGGAGCCCCACAGAGTGCACATGCCATTTTCAAATCAAGTTCTGTTCATTCACATGCGTCCGATCACGCTGACAGCAGCTGAGCACCCCCCTGAAGGCACCGCCAAGGCACCTCTGGGAAGCTGGGCGATGTCCACCGTCCAACGGCTATGGGGGCTAAGAAAGCCAGCTTCCTAGCAGGCTTGCACCAGTCAAAGCAGCCACGTAACCCACACCTTGCCTCTGTGCACATACATGCCCGGTGAAGAGTTTGTGTCTACAAGAGCTTGAACCTGTTTGACACTCGGGTTGGAAAACACCAGCCAACCGTCCTGGATGCAACGCCACATGACCACGAACTCCAGATACTTGATCACCTAGGCAAAACTTCCACCGCCGGGTCGAAAGTGCAAAGTGGATGAAACAAAAGGACACCAGTGGAGGATGCAAAAGGACAAGTAGTAGCGAGGCACTTGTTTCTACTAGCTTCTTGTTACATTGTTGTTTTCGTGTTGGATAGTGGCCTCCAAAAACCTCAGCGTTCAACATGCCAACATTCCATCTTGGAGATGAATGAACTCGCCCTCACAGCAGAAATTCTAATGACATTATGTATTATGTAATTAATTCCTTGCCAACACCTATCGATCAAGCTCCAAAGAATTTAGAAGCCTTCCAGGCAAACAATACTTCTCATCTTTGTGCCGTGCTGTGGGCAGCTTGTGCAAGTGCTATGATGGCCACACCTTTTGCCGGCCAAGATGCATAGAACACTTGATTCACATACAGGAAATGCATGCCGGGATCGAAAAACACCACGTTCACAAAGAAGAGCTGTGCAGAAACCTCGTTCAGCCGTGGCGCGCGAAGCTGCGAGAAAAGCTGCGAACTTCTGCCGGTGCAAACTCTTCACACTCCGACAGCATGTGGCAGCCAAGCCGCCACGGTGGAGAAGAGGAAGTTGGCGCATCTGGACGTAGACGTGGAATCCAAGAGAGATTTGTGCGCTCGAGCGAAACGCAACAGTAAAGAAGTACCAGAGACGTCTAGCAGGAAGAGGCTGAGCAAAGGCCAAGGGCCTTTCTTGCCTTGCACTGTCCCGGCACATAACTGTCTGATGCTAGCGCGTGCAAAAAGGAATGCACTTGCTACTTGCTTAGGCTAGATTGCGGTCCTCAAGCTTACTGGCCAGAAATCTCTCCTCCTCATATTGCAACGAACTAAGTCTCATCTGACCACGTGTCCTCCCAACAACTGCCAAGTGTCGAACGGCCTGTATGAATCCCTCGTTCTTTATAGCCCCAAGTTGGTTTCTCTGTTTCCTCCACATTCCTTCTCCCAGCGGCTCTTGCAGGCATAGTGGAAGAACGCCAAGGTGGGCAACCTCGCGATGATCTCCACACAATAGTGAGCAGTGACCAGCTTCCTCAAAACCAGCTCGCTTTGGACGCTGAGATCTTTCTTGGGGCCGACGAAAGGCCGACTAAGGGCCCCTAGCCATGCTAGCTGAGGTTGGTGGATTTGGTGAATTGAAAAACGCTTTAGCTTCTCCCAACTATATGATGCTGTTGGCAGATCAAGCACTGATCTGTCTGTCATAGATGGCTGGTCCGCTCCATGTGAGCCCAAGAGTCTTGTTACTTCGCACGAAGACATCATCTACCCAGATGTAGAGCACGAAGTCTGCAATGCCAAAGCTCAGTGACAGATAGCCTGCTAGGAAGGCCACTGATAAGTGTGTGGAGCACGTGGCGCCTTTGATCAAGAGGCCCATGTGGAACCTTGCATGTGGGCAGTTCGTCGTTCCGACAGGAGTTTCCCCAACCCGAACGTACGCACGCAAGCGCAATGGTCGCAATTTGCAATGTGGTGCTGGCCACTCAGGTCAGAAAATGGGTCAGACCAAGACCAACAAAAGTATCAACTGTGGGACTTGGTGTTTCCAGACCTCAACAACAGCATGGTCTGACCAGCAAGTGGGTTTGTAACTGTAGAAGAAGAGGGACCTCCCAGTTCGACCAACCGATGGTTTGGGGGTGCCTCTATTGCAATATTACACCCCAAAAATGTCCTTGACATGCGCGCTGTGTTGGGGCGGCCTCTGATTCAAGCCAGCTCTGACCTGCTTGCCAAGGAACCACAGCGAAATGAAGGCCTGGTCAAAGTTTCAAAGCGCTTGGGCCAAGGAGTTTTCAACTTTTCAACCCGGTGGGTTATGAACACAAGCACAATGCTTGATTCCAGATACAGCTTGCAATGGCAAGCTTCACTTTCCGACACTTTGTTTTTGCAGTGGTGGCAAAACCCAACGATTCATCTTCCAGCCTGCGGGATGTTGCCTCAGCGGGAGAAGCGCAGAATGCACACGCTTCTCCGGATTGCACGAGGTTGTAACAAGTAGCCGTGTCGTCAAGAGCTGATGACTCTGCGGTTGTCTATCAGAGCTGTGCCTTCGTACCTGGATCTTTGATTGCACAGCCTTTTCTTAGAGTCTTAGAGGTTCACCAAGTCAGCAGTCTTTGGGAAAGTAATTATTAGCTTGCCCCAAGTCAACAAGCACCGCACCTGTTTGATTCCCCAAATCACCGGCACTACTTTCACCTGTGTGGTATCCGACTGGTGACGCCCAGGTGCAGATACTCAGTTTCCGCACTCCGCGCATGGCATTCTCCCCAGGGCTCCCTTTTGGAGGGTTCGAGCTGGGATCAGGAGCAGAGGCCAGTGGCAGGAGAGGCTGAGACGCATCTGGGTCCTTGGCTAGTGCCAAGGATATGCTCTGCGGGGGGAACCTTGGAAGAACCAACCCGGAGACTCCACACCCACCGCAGAAAAGAGCGCCCTCCGAATGGCTGATGGTCCGAAAGCTTCTTGTTCCATCCACACAAGTGCTAAGAGATTAAACTCAACACACAGAGCCGAAATTCATCTCGAACCTCTTCTGTGTGTTAGTTGGGTGTTTTAACACAATGCTGGGATCTTCCCCATCCTTCCTTTCCCTCAACTCACCGAGGAGAACACACGAGATGTGGCGCAAGTTGAGAGGACTTGAGCAATGAGGAGAACAGACTCAACGGTTGAGCCAGCTAGACCTTGATGAGGGTGGATCAGCATTGCACCAATCTGAATCCCACGCTCCCACACCCAAAGAAGTGACTTCTTGCCTAAACCCAAAGCCCATGCCATGTGCGACGCAAAATGCCGCCTTGAGCGACAATTGCCGCCGCATGGCGCCGCTGGGCTCTGGAGCACGCAACGCACGCAACGCACGCAACGAAAACTGCAGCCCAGTCGCCATGGCACGATACTTCGGCCGAGGCCGACCACCCGACAGGACCTTGTCCGCCATCCTAAGCATCAACCATCCACTTTGGGATGTTTCTGTTCATCCCAGTCTCCATCCCAGTCTCTATGCTCATCTATACTCATCTATACTCACTACTCTCCACTTACTACTCTCTCTCTCTCTCTCTCTCGTGCTGCGGGCATAACTCTCTCGCTGCCTCAACGCGGCACCCCTGCCTCTGCCCAGTGCAACCAGCCCATAAAGCTGATCTGACCCCATGTTTGCGCTTGTGTCTTTCTTTCATGACACCGAAAAGACTCCTGAACTCCCTGGGCCAACTGGGCCAACCTGCTCGTCCCTTCACCTGTTCCCGCTACGAGTGGCTCCCACACCGCCGCCACCTGCAGCATGGAGGTCACCACGGCGACCACGGTCCCGTGGGCTCGGTGCCGCAGACCCGACCAATGAGCTCGCATCGTGACCACGGTCAACGTGGTCGAAAGCAACCTGAGGTCGTGGTCGTGGTCGTGGTCCAACAGCTCGGTCGTAAGGTCCGAGGTCGTCCGATAGTCTGGAGAGGAAAAACCGAACAGGAACTGACAGGAACTGACACGATCAAAGGAAACAAGTGCCTTCGGACCTGCTTCGTACATTCGTAGGTGGAGAAATGAAGCTGAAAAGTTTCAGATTTCAGTCCAAGGCTGCAACAAAAATCATAACCTTGGCCAGGCTGCAAGCCCAATACCATTGGGGTGATTGAAGGGCCACTGTCGCCTCCGGCATACCTTGGTGGCCCAGCTGCAACTCGTGGGTGCCATCTTCCCCCATCCTCCCCCATTTTAATTGAAAAACCTCTTGATATGAGGGACGGTCAAAACTCCTTATTCTTCTTCAGCAAAAAATGGACGTCATGGGTTTTGAGGTGGACCTTATCGTTTTACAGCGTTTTGAGTTCGTCGCATACTTATGACCATATACAGCGCTGGGGTTATCGGTTTTGAGGTGGACCTTATCGTTTTGCAGGGTTTTGTGCACAAACCTACCCCTCTTTACTAAAGTGGTCTTCGCATGTTTTGACCGTGGCTCATATGGTGGGTTTATCAATCAAGAGTCTACATCAACATCTCGTATTGCAAGCGAAGCGCACCACTGCCGCCACATCCAGTAGACGCTGAGTGGTGAGGAAGATCGCACGAGACGACAGGCCCAGAACGCGATTCCAGGATTGCCACTTCATACCAGGGATCGCGCTCACAGCTATGGAAGTTGATCAATTATATTCAATTATCCACCGGAGGCTTGACTTTCAGTGGGTCTTCTTTGGTCAAACGAATGGAATTCCACAGCTGTGTCCACAGCTGGTGCATTGCAAACATCTGCACGTCGTACTAGTTAAAATGCTGACTCACCGGCGACTCGCCGCAACTTCGGTGACAAGCTTCACTTGTGCAGGCCCAAGTCACATGTTAAAGATTGTAAGTACGGCATCAAACAAAAGCAGGTCAAGGGAAAAAAGTGGTCCCGAACTAAAGTGTTCGTCCTCATCTGATGTTGGTTCATCTTTGCTAGCCATCTTCCAGGTAGTCCTAAGCGCGACACATCAGGCGCCTGCTTCATCATCAGCTTATGCTTGAGCCGAATCAGGCCAAACCCGGCAACTGCGCCTCAAATGTCTGCTGAGGGGAAAGAACCATGCCTGGGTAGGGCTAGCATGGTGTTGCCGGCAACTCCCGTTCGAATTCTGTGAAGCTGGAGGGGCAGTTGCCTCACCACTGTCGCAACTAAAGGTTTCGAAGAGCATCCGACATTCACCAATCCCTTCCATCTGCGCAACTTAAAACAACCACTATATTTGCAGTATATAAGTTTCAACAGTTAGTTGGTACAAGTGGCCCATGTTGACATGTTTTGGACACGTGCCTCTTGTGAGAACAACCCAGTCTCTGGCCACATTTTGAGCCTGCCATCACTAGTAGCGATCGGGCGCATGCATTGGAGGATCACGGAGGCATTCCCCAGACTCATCCTCCCACGTCCTCACCCCATGCCCGTCCTCCTCATCACCTCTCAGGGTGCTATTGCTGTCGAAGCGAGACCATTCCAAGAGAAGGACTGCTCCGCTATAGCTGTCTTCACCGAAAAGGACCTGTGGTCACTGTCAGTGAAGGCCACACTCCCTCTCTCCCTGTCTCCCTCTCTTCCCCCCTCCCTCTCCCTCCCTCCCTCCCTCTCTCTCTCTCTCATGGCTTTATGGATTTGGCTCAAGCCCAAAAGCAGCCCTTACATGTCCGTGCAGTCTACATATCTGTTCTTGAGCATCCGAAGGCAAGCTCTGGCCAGACTGTGGGTCAGGGCTTAGAATCAGTCCCACATGTAGTATTGACGAAGTGACGTTGACGTCAGGTCACAATTAATTCCTAGCCAAGTCGATTTCTTGACCCGAGCAAGGCCCCGTCAATTGACCAAACTTCTGAATGTCGACGCTGCCCCCTAACAAGGAGGAGCCTAACGCAATTCATGCCAAGGACTGTGCTTTCAGGATGTCATTCTTCCGGTTTTCTCATGTCTCTCGGACGAAAAGCAAGAAATCGCGTGCGCTCAATCCTAGGCAAGTGCCAACCTCCCTGTCCATCCTCCTGAAACCCTGCCCTGGACACCTTGCTGGACTTCCCGGGCTGGCTCACCACCAGGCGCTCACCCAAGATGGCGCAGGCATGACCAAAGCGTCCATGGGGTAAGTGGCCAGATCTAGGAGGACGCACGACGCACAGTCCCACACGGTTGGACATCAGGTGAAATCTTTGGAATCAAGGAGTGCCTCCGCCCGATGCCACTGCAATCTACTATCTTGGGTACCTTGCTCTCCAGTATGGAAAGGAGCGTGAGGTGCAAAGCATCTACTTATCACCAAGCTGGGAACCTCTTTATGACTCTATGACTCTACGCTGTTGAGCAAAAAATGGTCACGCCAAGGCACACCACCGACTGCAAGCGCCCCTGGCTAGCCAAGTAGATTCCTCCAGTTGCCACAGCGGATCCATTTGCTCCAAAGTGCCCTGGAGCGCCAATGAAGAGCCGATCTCCTGCGGTTCCAGTCCAATTCAAACGCACCAGTCTTCTCGACATCAGGATCACTTGTCAGAAAGATGTGATGAAGCTTCCATATTCAGCTTCAATGCTGCCTTCGCCAACTCAGCCACATCCCTGGTTAATCAGCTTACAGTACATCATCTTGCTGGTGCGAAAAGGCACCTACCGTCCTTGAGCGCAAAGGCAAGTGCCAAACTTCTCGCCCGGCTGCCATCCCGCGAAAGTATGGAGTGCCTGCAAAACAACATTGTCATACAGTGCTGTGATACCGGTGAGGTGCAAGACCGGCCCCACGCCTGGATATAGCCCACCATGGGCCCAAAAGCCCTCCTAATGATATTTTCACATGCAATATCCAGTGCTTGAGAATGGATCATGGGTGCCAATGCAAAGGTCTTGGACCGGTACCCAACCCCAGGTGAAGTGCAAAAATGCAAATTACTGCACGCACACTCCTTAAGACTACAAAGGAGACAGAGCAAAGCGATGATTGATGATGAAACCATGCCACGCAGGCCACGCAGCATAAGAATCATCGAGAATCCAAAAAGGAAGTCCAACCCAAAAGCCTTTCCCACCTCTTCTGGTGCAAGATGTTGGCCCCTGGCGACTTCAAAGAGGTGCACCATGCCCGACCGCAGCTGCTCGTCGTCTGCTCGGCCAAAGTAGGGCGACCCCACCGCCAGCAACGCGGCACCAGCGGCGCCAGGGACGGCCAGCAACGTGTGGCCGAACACATCCGCGGGGCCAGTGGCCGTGGCTGTCCAAGCAGAAGTAGAGAGGCCTAAAGAATGAGGAACGTCGGCGTCAGGATCTGTAAGAGTTTGTATGGAATGAAGGAGTATGAACCGGCTGAAGCTGGATTTGTACCAACCGGCTTGAGTTGCTTCAGCATTATCAAGTTGGTAGGAGTTTGTACCAAATGCGATCCGCCGGTTGCATAATGGAATCATCACAATTGAAGTGCCGAGCATGTGCAAGAGCTAGAGCTTGGTTAAGCAAGCTTCCCGATCCTTTCTGGTGGTTTCACAGGGCTGCTGAGCAAGCATTGAAAGCACCGTGGACGGTCGCAGCAGTTCGGCCTGCCTTGAGCTGAGCCAAAGAACACATCAACCTGTCCAGAGTAGGCCTGGCCACGACTCCAAGTTTCCAAAGAAGAAACTAGCTACGTACTACGTAGTACTACAGAAAGTCATCAGCTACTTGGCTACATTACCGTTCGATGTTCGCCAAGCTTTCAGCCACGACTATAGACTGTAGGCCCTCATGGACCCCAAAACGACCGGACCGATTCATCCGTGCCTGTCGTTCGAAGACCTCATCGATGAGACCCTTCGTGGGCGATGACACCGCCAAGTCGTCGATGCCATCGCCATCGAAGTCGCCACAGGCCAAGGAGTGCCCGAATCCTCGGTTAAAGGCACGGAAGCGAGGACCTTTGGTTTTTAGAGAGCCAACGGCTTTGTTTCATATGAGAAGCACAAGCAAAACAAACAGGTGGCTCTGTCTCTTCTAATTATTCAGGTGAGGTTGCCTGTGTATTTCGTGTATTACAGTAAATCCACTGTGCTTGTCAGATTGAGCGGTTGTTGGAGTGCAACGCGAGCGCTTTTCAGCTGTTATGATCCATCACCCAGTCCAAGCATCTGCCACCCGCACTCATTCCTGGCAAAGAAAGGCGAGTGGTCGCTCCAGTGGAAGGTTTCCTGAACACGGTCAGTCCCGCAGAGCTCATGGCCAAACAAGGGAACCTCCCCGTCTCGCGGACTAGGGGGACCTCCTCATCCTGAGGTTGAGGTCAAACTGGTTGCCGGTATTCGTGACAAAGGAATCATCTGCTCACGAGCCTGTGCACAAGCCTTCCCAGTAAGGCGGTCAAAAATCTTGAGACAATGCGCAGTGGTATTTTATGATGTTTTATGTTCACCCTCATCGCCATCATCAGCCCCCAACGCGCCTGAGTAGCACTTGACCGAGCAAGGGCTGACCAGGTAGTGACCATCCAGGAGCACCTGAAACCTCCTGCTTGCGCAACCCCAAACAATGACACGGACTCCAAGAAGGAACTCGGTTGGCGGTGGTTTCAAAGATGTCAACAAAAGAAAAGCGTCCCACAACACGGGAAGAGTATCTTCCAAGAAATGCTCCTTTTAGTTTTAGATGGTCTAGCCATGTCTAGCCGCTAGCCACTTCACTGGCAGCTCAGTGGCCCATTAACTTCATTCGTCTGCTGTCCTCATGTTCACCGTCACCATCAACGTCACAAAATAACACCGAAGTGCCTTCGTAGGCGTACCTCGACAGCGGAAAAGGTTCAAATCAGTGAAGCACAATTCGACGATCAGGGAAGAATTTGCGTGATGGCGGAGAAAATAGGGGTCACAGGCAGCAATAGGCAGGAGCTTGCAAATGGCATAGGCCTAGAAGCTGACCTCACCACAACCAACATGGACCCCGAAACTAAACAGAACAGAAAGCTTGCTCAACAAACCTGAACAGCTTTCAGGGTCCGTGTTAATTGGTATGCTGAGGCGAGGGATGGAACTTATTCCAAAAGCAAACAGTATTGTGGAATCTGTTGGAATGGCTGATCAGCGTGTCTCAGTTGGTGCAGGCTTCGCCCTCCAGCTTCGGCATCACAACACAACTATGATTGTAGGATATCATATTATATCATATTCCACCGTCTTTGCAGGCCTATACATTAGTGAGGTGTCTGGGATATGCTCTTGCAGACTCTTGCATCACATAAGAAACCTGAGCAACTTAGGAACGGTGCAAAATCACCATGTGTCACCCATGTGTCACCCATGTGGTCGGGCCACATGATGTCCAACTTCTCCGTTTAGCCCAGCCACGAGCCCCAGGAGTCGTCCATGTCAATCGGGGCAGCACCTGCTGACTGAACTCCACTGCCAATGGCCACAGCACCTGCTGATGTTCAAATCATGTAACACACGTGTCGAAGAAAAAGAATGGAATGGATTTATTATATACACACATATATATATAATATATATATATTAACAACCGTTCCAAGGCATCTTAACTCAACTCGCTGGCTTTTGCTCACAAAGAGCAGGGCTCGAAGCAAATCATTCACTTTGGACAGGGTCAGCACGGGTCAGCATTTCTGCAACTCATCCA